CGGACAATTTTAGGGGTCTACATCCATAATAGCATCAAGCTTATTAATCATAATTTTCTCGAATGGAAAGAATGGCTTAGGCTCCGCCTCTTGCTCCCGGTCAGGTTCAGCTTCGACCTGTGGTGGTTGGTCCTCATCATGAGATGGAACGCCATCCTCGTCTGTTGCCAGTTCAGGGGTTGGAGGTACATCTCCTTTAAATACCCACTTATCTTCCTGTTTGAGCATCCCCACGTGATGCAAGGAAGATTTCTCAATTTTGTTAGAGGCATGGAGAATAATTTTCTTCTCCCCTGTCAACTCTACCCCTACATTCTCAAAAATTTTAGACAACAACAAGGCATAAGGAATTGGTCCATCTTCTTTCCTTCTGGCCTTCCACATACAATCATTCACAACGGATACCCAATCAATCTTGATTTTCTTTTTAATCACATGCATGAGTAAAATGTCACCCCTTGACATTTGAGCATGGTTGTGCAAACGTGGTTTAAGCATCCAAGCAATAATAAAAGAAATCAAACGTGAATTTTTCTTCATACCTCCCGCCAAGAATTTGTTGTAGTTGGTGTTCTCAGGATTCCTCTAACAATCTCTGAAGGTCGTCAACTCCTCAAAATCACCAAATTTGAAGGGTTGGGGTTTTTCACTTCCACTGTCGCTCAGCCCGGCAGCCGCCTTCAAGGTTGGTCCATCAAGCTTTATCAGCTTGCCCTTCACTAATAATAACATAATGCCTTTATTGCTTGTTGAAAAACAGAGAAACAGCCTGATCAGCTCAGGGTAGTAGGGTCCTTCCATTTCCAAAAACTTCCCAAGCTCTTGGTGCTCCAGAAGAGTTGGAAAGCTAAACCCTTCATTTTTGAACCACTCTAGCTTCAAGGTTTTGGGAGGGATGATTCTCCGACCCGCATACCACTCGAATTAATACTCCTGGGTTTTCTCATCCGCGAACCATTTGGAGACTCCTGGGTTTTCTCATCCGCGAACCATTTGGAGATCAGTTGCCCTGAGGGTAGAGGACGCTTGCTCCCCCTCACTTCCAGCTTCTTGGGTCTTTTGGAAGAAGAAGCCATGGATGGGTTTTGGTGGAGAAGAAGAGAATGAGAGAGATGAGGAGGTTAAGGTTTGAGAGTTTGAGAGAATGTGAGAATGTGGAGAGATGAGAGGGTTTGGAGGTTCTTATGCCCTAGCACGTTTCTAAGTGGGGAGAGGTTTCTCAACTGAAGAGTAATGGGAAGTTAAGGGTTTGGCGCGCATAAAAACCGTTCAAAATGCTTCAGGATGTCCTAAGGTCGCGCAGATAATCCATTATTTTTACAAATAATCGATTATTTGTATCAATAAAACCCTTTAAAAACCTGTCTGCTATAAATAATCGATTATTTTTAGAATAATCAATTATTCCAGAGGGTCGTTTTTCTTATCTTTGCCCAGATAATTGATTATTTTCAAGATATTCGATTATTCCAGAGACCTTTCATATTCTTCTTCCCAGATAATCGATTATTTCCCTAGATAATCGATTATTCCATAGGCTCTTCATATTCTTCATCTCCCAGATAATCGATTATTGCCCAAATAATCGATTATTATTATGGGCTCACTTAAAATAATTGATTATATTTTAAAATAATCGATTATTCCAGAGAAGTTTTGCTTCTCAGAAATTTAACCTTTCAAATTACTCCAAGTTTAATTCATTTCTTAAACACTCTCTTTTATGCATCAATGTTTCATACTTATTCTAAACAATCATACAATCACTCTCAAATCATAATCAATTCAAACAAGATTCATTAACTATCCCTAGTTCAATACTTAATTGACTAAATCTTTCCCTTGGTAGAGGTTTTGTAAATATGTCAGCTAATTGCTTACTAGTCTCAACAAACTCTACAACACAGTCATTTCTTTGAACATGATCTCTTAAAAAGTGGTGTCTTATCTCTATATGTCTTGTCCTAGAGTGAAAAATTGGGTTTAAATGTTCCATGAGATATTTGTTAGTCAAAGAGGCACATCAGGGTGTTTTTATGAGTCATTTTGGGGTGCAAAAGACGTTAGAAATATTGGTGCACATTTTTATTGGCCCCATATGAAATGTGATGAGCATAATTAATATGAGCATTGCATTGTTTGTAAAAAGGAAAAATCTGAAGTGAAGCCACATGGTTTATATAATCCTTTACCTATTTATGATTTTCCTTGGATTGACATATCGATGGACTTTGTTTTGGGATTTCCCAGAACCAAAAATGGCAAGGATTCTATTTTTGTGGTTTTCTAAAAAAATTCACATTTTATACCATGCAAAAAGATTGATGACGTTTTCCATGTAGCTGACTTATTTTTTAGGGAAGTGGTGTGATTTCATGGATTGCCGAGGAGCATTGTAAGTGATAGGGATACCAAATTCCTACATCACTTTTTCCTCTTCATATTCATAGATGCATTTATTAAAATCCTTACTGAAGTCTTGAAACTTCCCAAACACTATACTCAATTTCTTTAATGCATTTTGATACAAATGCCAAATACAAAGGCGGTGGCATGTTTCTGGCCATACCAAAGCTAATGCCTTTGCCATTGCTGCATCTTGGTCAGTAAGAATAGTCTTTGGTTTCTTTTCTGACATAGCTTTAGCAAAAGTATTGAACAACCAAATAAAACTTTCAGTCGTTTCATCATATAATAATGCTGCTCCAAAAATAATGGTAAGTTTATGATGATTGACTCCAACAAACATTGCAAATGGACGACCTTCTTTATTTTTTCTATAAGTAGTATCAAAACAAACAACGTCACCAAAATATGAATAATCAATCATCATCTTCACATCAGCCCAAAAGATATTAGTAATTAAGTCATCCTCATCGACTTGTATTGCATAAAAGAAATTAGAATCTTCTAATTGCATTTTTTGCAAGTACTCTAGCACACCACCTGTATCTCCTGACTTCATTTGCATTGTTCTCTTGGAACGTAAATAATTTCTATAGTCTTCGGGAATGAATCCAAGATTTTCACGACCACCAGCTCGCCTAGCCAATAACTCACAACTTGCTTTTGGAGTGATTCCAGAATCATCAGCTAAATGAACCTCGGCTACTTGAGGAATAGTCATTTTCCTTTGAGATCTAAGCAAATGACTCTTACTAGGAGTTGTAGTCTCATGTGCATGCTCAGCAATAAATTCAGTTACACGATACTTTCCTGTTAAACGACTATTAACTTTCATCTTTGCCAAACAACCAAATCTTGATTGTGGTCGAGGATTTTTGACATTATCTTCTCGCTTATCTTTCCCACGATATCCTTCGCATGAACAACAAAATACTCTATTGACTATCTTCCCATATTTATCTTTATGCCCTTTGCTAATCCTCACACTGAAACCTACTCTATAAGCATAATCATTGTAAAAATTATATGCTGCATCTTCAGTCTCAAACTCCATCCCAACTTTTGGAATAAATTGACTAGGAATTGTATCATGTATTATATCAATTTTTTTTCCTTCAATTTCATCCACATTATCAATGCCCATTTCTTGATGTTCTTCTTCAGCCATAACACAATGCTCTAAACAAGTGACCAAGAATTAGATACGTATCAAATAAAGAATGAACTTGTGTAACAATCCAACAAAATTATAGTCAAACAAAACGAAAAACACACACGATGTTTAAAGAGATCAAATAAATCTTAAATCAAGAAGAAAACCACAAGACACCACTAGATTTGTTGCCTGTGCCTAACATTTCTAAATTTAAGGATAAGCATGCACAATCTAAAGCTGATTATGTGAGGAAGCCACATGAGCATGTGAAATCCTAAACTAAAAAAAATTTAGAGTTATGCTAGAAAAGCCAACAAGGTCAAACAAAACTTCAAAGGGCCATAACTTTGGCTCTGGTTATTGGAATTAGGCAAACTTTTTTTCATTTTGTGTAGAAAAAAAGATCTATCGAACCCAAAATGCTAGGCTGTCTGGCCCCAGCTAGATTTTCAAAAAAAGGCAAGCTTGGAAAATTTTCTAAAGGCATTAAAAACATCATTTTCATTTGCAAGAAACATATCCCATATGAATCTTGAGTAGTCATCTACAATAACTAAACCATAATAGTTCCCACCTAGACTCATGGTTCTTGGAGGACCAAAAAAATCCATGTGAATTAATTGCAAAGGTCTAGTTATGAAAATCTGATTTTTTCTTTTAAAGCTAGTCTTCACTTGCTTTCCCTTTTGACAAGCATCACATAGTTTGTCCTTACTAAACTTGAGTTTAGGTAATCCTACCACTAATTCCTTCCTACTCAGTTTATTTAAATGATCCATGTGAATATGTGCAGCTCTCCTATGCCAAAGCCAAATATTGTCTTCTTGGGTTATTAAGCACTTAGTATTAGAAATTACTATTGAGTGTTCTAAGTCAAGCATGTATATGTTGTCAATTCTTTTTCCAATAAACCTTATTTCTTTTGTCTTTTTATCACATATCAAGCAACATGTATTATCAAATTCAATTTTAAAACCTTTGTCACTTAGTTGACTTATACTCAGCAAATTATGTTTCAGCCCATCAACAAGCAATACATTCTCAATCAATGTTTGAGAGGAGGAGTTACCAATATTGTCATGACCAAGGATTCTCCCTTTGTTGTTGTCACCATTGGTAACATAACCTTCATTCTTCAATTTCAGACTTGAGAATTTTGCAGGATCTCCAGTCATATGCCTTGAGCAGCGACTATCAAGATACCATAGTAAGTTCTTGGCCCTCAAGCATTCCTACAACAAAGATTCAGAGAAAAAATTTAGGTACCCATGTGAAGGGTCCTTGTAGGTTCTCAACCTTTGGCTCTTTTCAATCCAAACCATTTCTCCATTTGGAACTCCATATTTCCTAGAGTAGCAGTTTCTTATTGTGTGACCTCTTTTACAACAATAATAGAAGGTTGTTTGTCTAGAGAAATTGCTTTAAATTTTCTGAAATCTTGGTTTTTCTTAAAAGCTCCTTTCTTTGACTTGAATGGAATGCTCATGCTTTGATTAAAACTAAGTCCACTCCTATCAAAAGTGTTTCTTTGTTTTCCCTAAAGAATCTTTAAATTTGCATTTCCATTTGTGAACTTTGCAAGAGTGGTTTTTAAATCAGCATTTTCTTTTTCAAAAGTCTTGCAACTTTCACAAACCTCTTTTGAGGAGGAGGAGGTTTCACAATGAGCTTCACTAAAGTTGAAGATAGTTTGAAGATTTTCATGCTCATGTTTCAAATCCTCAAGCTCTTGTTCAGCTTTAATTAAAGCATTTTCATACCATTTCAGCTTGTTTTTAAGCTTTGAATTCAAGGCATCTAATTTCATAGCCTCTTTATGAATTTGTATAAAAGCTTCTTGGAGTTGATCATAGTCCGGATTAGATTCAAGGTCGGAATCACTTACAATCGTGTGTTGGTCAGCTCCAGCCATCAAACACAAGTTGTTCTCTTCAAATTCAGATTCAACACTTGTTGTGCTTGAGTCATTATCTTCCCAAGCAATGTAGGCTCTCTTCCCTTTGCCATTTTTCTTCATTTTCTTCTCCTCTTGTTGCTTCTTCAAGAGGTTTGGACACTCAGCTTTCATATGTCCCGGTTTTCCACACTCAAAGCATTTATAGGAGGATGTACTTGCTTCCTCTTTCTTGTTAGTCTTTTTATTGAACTTATAGGGGGAATTTCTCTTTTTCCTTATGAATTTTCTAAACTTCTTCACCAACAAGTTGAAGTTCTCAGTTTTGGAATCATCGGAGCTTGACTCTTCACACACCTCTTTGCCTTTGGCAGATTTCAAGGCCTTTAATGACACTCCTTTTCCCTTCTTGTCCTGCTGTTCATTTTCTTCAAATATGTGCAGCTTTTGCTCATGCTCTCTTAGCTTCCCAAAGAGAGTAGCAAGGGTCAAAGAGGTCAAATCCTTTGATTCTTCTATGGCTGTCACCTTTGCTTGCCATGATCTGTCCAAGCATTGCAGCACTTTCAAATTCAGCTCTTCTTTTTCAAATTTCCTGCCAAGGTCAACAAGGTGATTTATCAAGTGTGTAAATCTCTTTTGAAAATCAGAAATAGATTCACCATTGTTCATTCTAAACAATTCATATTCTCTTATGAGAGTATGCTTTCTAGATCTCTTTACATCACTTGTTCCTTCATGAGTGACTTGCAAAGTATCCCACATTTCTTTAGCAGATTTGCATTGTGATATTCTAAAAAACTCATCAATAGACAATGCAGATGTAATAATGTTTTTGGCTCTATAGTCATATTGGGCTCTTTTCTTTTCATCATCACTCCACTCACTCCAATGTTTTTCTCTCTTCTCATCATCATCTTTTGTCATAGGGATATAGGGTCCATTTTCTATTGCATCCCATACAGCAATATCAATTGCTTCAATGAAAATTCTCATCCTAATTTTCCAGTAGACATAGTTTTCACCATTGAAAACAGGAGGTCTATGAATAGACACACCCTCACCATAGGGTAGGTTGCTATTGGCCATTTTTGAAATCTTGAATAACTCTCAAGAACCTTGCTCTAGATACCAATTGTTAGAAAAGAATGGCTCAATCCAAGAGGGGGGGGAATTGGATTCTATGACACTTTAAAAATTTCAGAGTATTTAGGATCTTTATTTCAATTAAACTTTTCTAAAAATGAATTTTCAATGAAGTTCCTTAAAGACTTTTTATTGAACAATGAATCCTATATGCTTTCTTGATTGACCAATAATGAGATTCAATGTTAATACCAATATGTAATGCTTTGATTCAGTTCAAACCAATGTTACTCATGCACACATGTTAATCAAGAACAATCTTTTCAATATACAATCAAGATATTACACAAAGTAAAAGATAAGAGTAAGAGAAGATTGCACAAGTCTTTTATCCTGGTTCAGCCACTCCACATGTGACCTACATCCAGTCCTCAATCATAACCTGATCAAGATTTGTTCCACTATCTTAATGAAGAAGGTTTACAAGCATACCACACATGCATATACTCCTACATTCAAGATAACCACTTTCTTGACCTCAAGAAAGCACCCCTTGTAGAAACCCACTACAAGAATTCCTTACCACTTGAGAAACCTACTCAAGATTTACAAGTATTCACAAAGAATTAAGGAACGAATTCACCTGGAATTCAGAAGCAAATCTTAATCTCTTCCCTTTCAAGAATGTGATGATAATGATCTTTTCTCAAAGTTTTTCACAAACGTTTTTCTTCTTGGATTCACAAAGAAAACTCTCCAAGATTGTCACAAAGACTTCACAAAAACGTTTTTCTAATTTTGATTCTCAATTCTAACTCTGTTCTAAAGTTTCAAAATGGTCAAACTATTTATAAGATTTTCAGAATCAGATAATCGATTATTTTAAAGAATAATCGATTATTTTGTTCTTCATGTTTTCTGGAAACCAACCAAGAACAATTTAATCGATTATTTTGTTGGATAATCGATTATTCCAGAGAGTCATTTCTGGGATAATCGATTATTTCACAAATAATCGATTATTGCAGCAAGGCATCCCTTTTTGCCTGTTGCTGGAATAATCGATTATATTTAATGATAATCGATTATTTTGAGTTAGTTTTCAAAACTTTGTTTTAAGTCTCAAAATAACTTCTTAACCTTTTAAACTCATCATCATACACTCCCTAATCATATCAGATATAGATTTAGCTTATGCACAAAGCACACACAAAAGATAAACTCAATCTAAAAGCTATTCCTATTACATAACATTTTCATTTGACTTTGTTTTTGACTTCTAAGTTGTTGATGTCCTTGGCACAGATTTGTTATCATCAAAACTCTTCAATCTTCAGAGGTGATCTCATCAATCTCAGGCTCCCCCAATGTCAACAACATGCACTTCCACAAGTCATGTAAATACTTCTTTACCTCTTGGTATTCAAAGTCTTTTAGTTGAATTTGATGATGTATTCCCTAGTGAGGGTCCCAATAGTCTTCCACCTTTTAGGGGTATAGAACATCAAATAGATTTTGACCTAGGAGTTAGTATTCCAAATAGACCAGCTTATAAGACAAATCCACAAGAAACTAAAAAGATAGAGAAGCAAGTACAAGATTTGTTGGATAAGGGCTGGGTTCAAAAGAGTTTAAGCCCTTGTGATGTGCCTGTTTTATTGGTGCCAAAAAAAGATGGTAAATAGAGTATATGTTGTGACTGTAAAGCCATAAAAAACATCGCCATAAAATATAGGCACTCAATTCCTAGGCTTGATGACATGCTTGATGAACTACATGGTTCATCCATATTTTCCAAAATAGATCTTAAGAGTCGTTATCACCAAATTCGTATTAAAGATGGTGATAAATGGAAAACTGCTTTTAAAACTAAATTTGAATTATATGAATGGTTAGTAATGCCTTTTGGGCTTACTAATGCACCAAGTACATTCATGAGGTTGATGAATCATGTCCTTAGAGATTGCATTGGTAGATTTGTAGTTGTTTGTTTTGATGATATTTTAATCTATAGCAAAAAGTCTAAGTGACC